TATAGTTTAACCAAGAGCTTAAGAGACATTGTTAGGAAAAAGGCAGAGAAAAGAATGTGAAAGAGATAATGTTAGAAAATGTTCTTAAAAGAAGAAGCAGACTTTAAGTTCAAACATCCCATAAATAAGCTATGCCTGGCATTCTCAGGTGCTGCTTTGATTTGAAAGAGAGATAAATGTTGTAATATTCCGCATGCTGTCTCAACTATTTATAAATCGTGGCATAGTAGGGAAAAGAAAACGATGATCAACAGTTCTAAAACTAATACCACCTTATCAGATCAGTTCAGAGGAATGAGGTTATGTTTTTCATTACTTCTTTATGAAATTCCTTCTTTAGATAACTGAAGTATTTATAATTTCCAAAGTACTGTCTAACATTTAAAAGCAGGCTGGATTTTTTTATAGTGGGCAAGATGAATGAAATAAAGAGGTTCTTAAATGTACTATAAGTAAAGTCTTACTATTGCACTTGCACTCTTTATGATATAAAGATCTGCAAACCTCAGTAGATTAAGCATAAACATATTGGTGCTTTCAGAGATGGGACAACAGCTTGTCAGTGAAAAATTATATTTTATATCTTCTTAAGAATTGCCTGCCAAATATATGTCTATTATAAGCATCCTTCTCCAAAGTAGGAAAGAAGTACTAAAGGTTCTTTAAAATGGGTACCTATTTAGAATGGAATGTACTGTAGAGATAGAAGAAAAAGCAGGGAGGTTGTCATTTCTTACTTTGGCCTTAAACATGATAAAATTCATGTTAGATAAAATAGCAGAAATAAGGGTCTATACCGCTGAACTATATATCTCACCAATTCTAGTATGACCAATGGTGAGGAAGTCTTGGAATGGTAGTTCAGCAGCAACCAGAAGACCAACTGTCTTTGCCTTGTATTTTGCTACAATTTCATTAAAAGAAAGGGTTCAGTGGTCTTTGAAAGTGAAAAAAGGAGTTTGAGCTTCTGACAAAGAACTTAATACATAAATAAGATGATTAGAAGACACATGCAAAACAATTTCATACCTAGGGCTATTTTGTTTGTTTGAAAAATCAAAACCCTCAGCTTTACTTGATCATAAGGCTTTAATCCTATTGATAGCAGAATAAAATGTCTTATGAGTATATTGTGGGGTAACTACTAAATGCTGCTTTGGTGTGAGATGAACAAATTGTTGGTTACATAGTATTTTAAAAAAAAAATTGGATATAATTACGCAGACAGCTGCAAACATAAAATAAATCCAAACAATATATGTATATATGAAATCAAGATTTGCAGTCAAATCAAGAAAGCAGTTTTTCTCACCTAGCATCTTTTTGTGGCCACCAGATATATTTAAGTGATAACATTTACATATTCAAAATATGCAATCAAAATATTTAATGCCACAAAGTCATATGCGCCATTAGAGTAAGCATATGATAGCAAACAGAAATATTTAGCCAATTTTGGCTAATCTTGGGCATTAAGCAGGATTGGATCTAATTAAATGGTGGAATTTCAGGGCTGCTGGCTAAGCTGGGAAACCAAAAGTAAGAAAGAAATTTCAGAAGGTGATTGGAAATTATTCCCCTAACAAAAAAATGTGCATGGAGACATTAAAATGTGTCTTAACCTCAAAAAGAAAGCACAAAAGACCAGTCTTGAGGATCTTTGGAGTAATGTTTTATATGAGGGATGTAATAGACAAATATTTTTTCTATTTATTATTGTTTTTATTGTTAGAGACCCAGAGTCACATGTTAGTTGGGCAACCATATAGACCACGGGGGGGGGGGGCAACAATTTGGCTTGCCTTGAGTGAAGAGAAATTGTATGCATGTATATCTATGGGTGTCTGTATAGACACACATACAGAGTTGATGAATATAAATCACATTATAAAATTTATGATGTGTGAGACTGTATTATTAGCTATCACAGTTTAGACATTCCTGGTGTAGACTATAAATCTTACAATGGATATCATAGTAAACTTCACAATATAATAAACAAAAATATAGAGAATGAAATGAAAAAGGCAAGAATAATTCCCCACAAGAATAATTTTCTTAATGCTTTACAGCCACCCTAATTATTTCATTCTATTGCTTTGCTCAGTCTTAAATATTGAGAATGATATTATGTGTCTTAAATGGGAAGAAGCAGCAGCATTTGATGATCAAATTAAAATTGGTAATCTGATTGTTAACTTAGCATTTTAATGGAGGCTGAAATATAAAACTCCAGAAAATTAACCATTGCTGACATTAATTAACAAGATGCTTCCAGCTAAAAGTACTTCTGCCATCATAAAACATCCCATTCATTGAATATATAAAGGGCTGCAATCTGGCTCAAGAAATTAAAGTTTGCCATATTAAAGTTTTTTAGAAAACATTTTTAAACATTTGTTAACATTTAACAAATAATACTAATAATTAATAATACTAAATTATTCATTTACTGTAGTATTCAAGGTTATTCTGTATCATCCTGAGATTTGGTTTAATATAGCATATACACATGTTAAGTCTCTTAAGGAAATTGTATAGAAAGAAGTGTTTGGTTACAGAAGCAGCTAACAATAGTCTAAACTTGGTGACTAAGTGGCATGTTCTATTCCAGGAAAGTAAGCTGCGTCTTGCCAGCATGAGAGATTGAGTGCATGTTTTAACAGACTGCAAGCAACCATAATTAGCAAATGATCACTTTCTGTATTTGTTGGATATCGACTTTGAAAAGCCATCAAGTGTGCTGCACAGAATGCTTGACCTGATTTCCTGTTGGTCTCTTGCCAATGTGCATAGCAGAGAAGATGCTAGCAGATTAGATTCTCCTCATTCCAGAAGCAAAGTAAACAGTGACAATCATATAATGATGCAAAGATAGGCAGAAAAATATCACAAATCCTGCTAATGTGCATATATTTATAGAGATTAGGGATGGAATTCCTTTTCCCTGTCCATATCTGTTAAAACATGAATATAGTTCAGAAATGGGTTCTGAGCATTTGAATTTGTAGAAATGAACACTTGATGAAAGGTTTTTAACAGATGGGTTTAAGTTGCCTTTAGTATTTAATTTGCATCAAATTATATAGGGCCTCTTCTTGTACCAATAATTTCAATGAAATTTCCCCTGGCGTAAGTGATAAAAAGTTCCATCTGCCAATTCTCTGGGTATCCTGCTACAATTAAATGCTTACAGGCTAGCAGAAAAAGCTGGCAATCTTACTTGGATAGAATTCTCCAGAAATGTGTCTAACACATTTGAGTAAACAGAGGGTATTAATAATATGCATACTCCTAAGAATCTTCTTAGAATGTGTTAAGATTTCTGCCTATTCTACTTTACAGCCATCATTCTCATTCATCGTAATACTATTTCTGTATCTTGTCCTGTCAATATCTTTCAACCAGAACAGAAACTGTTGCTTAGCAATGTCTGTTGCTTAGTTCCCACTCAAGTCTACCACCACAAATCAGTGGAATTTACACAATAAGGTGCTGTTAATGGGTCAGCTCCATATCAGAAACTCTTGAAAACCCACAGCTCCAAATATTTTTTTCTGTAGGAAGACTGCATTCTTTCCAATAAAAAGGGCAGGATAAGAAACTTTACATGGCTTTTTTTAGAAAATGATGCCATCTCTCAAAAAAGTGACTTTGTTCTCTGGAGGAATCTATGTCTGTAATTGGTTTGTTGCTGAAGATATGGGAAATATTATATAGAAATTAACAATTGACTGTCCTAGAATAATGAAGTTTTATTTCTAAATAAGAGTGAAGCCTAAGAAAAAACAGCATTTGCCAGCCTTTTCGCTAAATATTCTTCTTGAGATAGCAAGTAACCAGTTCATGGTTAGAAAATGGAGATTCTATCTATATCGATACTACTAAAACTCTCGTCATGACCTTCAACTACTTGAAATGATGCATCACAGGGCAACAATTTTTGAACTAGTATACCTCAAATGGACTTACAGAATGCATCCAAAATCTGGAACCCATGACTCCAGAAAGAAAAAAAATTAAGAAAGTTAGGAAAGAAATGCTTCAGTGCTACTGAAGCTGTTATGATCACAAAATCTTCATTTTCAACTTTCTGTGACAATTCCTTAAGCAAACTCTATCAAAACATCTGCTCAGAGACCAGTGGATTTAAAAATTCTTTTTCAACAGGTTGAGTGGAGGTCATGCAATTCTTTGTATGTTTATTCAAAAGTCACTGGGTGCTTCTTCATTTGTGCAATGAGCCTGGTGGAATTGTTACAGTGCTGGTTTAGAAATTAGGAGACTATGAGTTCTAGTCCTCTGTTAGCCATGAAAGCTGACCAGCTGACTTTCGACCAGTCACTCTTTCTCAGCAAAACCTACCTGATTGTATTGTATAGGGAAAATAAGAGGGTAAAAGCTAGGGCTGTTGCAAGCAGGTGGGCACAAAATCCGTTCACCATTTGAAGTATGCAAAATTCCTTTCCAATTTATCTGTCAAACCCATTTATTTTATTTATCAAAATTAAGACAAATGACTCTGAATGGTTTACTGGTATAAACGATAAAAAACATATAATTAAAATAAAATTAAAAACGGGGAAGGATAAAACATACATTGTCAGACTTATTTTGCCCATGCATTGTCAGACTGAGTTACTTGCACATGCGAGATTAGATTAAGTAGGGAATTCCCGACGATTCTCAGAAACTTTAGGATTCCTGAAAATGTTCCAAATCAACTGTTTATCAACCTGCCTTATTTTATAAATTTCGCTATGGAAAGGCAACTGATTTCTAAGATGAGAGTAGAATGGTGTGTCAGTAGGATTGAAGCATTCCAAAAATGAGGGTGGGGTGGAGGGTCCTTACAAAAAAAACACCACAGACTACATAAAGCAAGTCTCTGATGGAATTTTCGAACAGATTGGCACGAAAACTCTGACGTAATCGAAGGTTTGTAAACTCCGAATTTCAGACCGTCTTATTAAAGCTCTCGCCAGAATTCATCGCTTCCGCTCTATGGACAAGTCTTTCGACGGCGGCCGCTTGAGGTCAATCGCATTGGAACGCGAGAGAAAAATGGCAGCCTCCTTAGAAGTGTGCCATGTAGCTTGTTCCGCTAACCGTGCCGGCCCCGGAGTGATTTCTTGGGGTAGAGGAACTCTATTGGCGTTCGGGTCTTGTTGCTCCGTTATCCTCTATGACCCACAGGTGAGTTGTGAACGGAGGTCGAGGATTTTGGCCCCGAAGGGCTTCTTTGCGTTCAGCTAGCGCGTTCCCTGAACATGTGTTTTGGAGGCGTGCTATGGGATAGAGGCGCGGGGGCGGGGGGAGGACGATTTGATTCTTGCTTCTTCTTGGGTGTCTTGATGCAACTTAGTCGGTTGTCTTCCCAGTAATGGGGAAAACTGACTTGCTTTGTTTCTGCTTTGGAAAGTGATGATAATGGTGAAAGTGATGATAATGGCGAGTGAGCTTTTAATGAGGAGGGCGAAACTCTCTTCGTATAGTTGATTGGTTATAGGTATGAAACGGTGTCGAAGACCTGGAGCAATTTCTGGAGTTTATGAAATAACGGAATAATAACATAATAAAAATTACAGAATTTTCTTGGGACATGCATAAAATGACAGTGTAGCAGAACATTACCTTTATTGTGGTTAATAACCTGTTCACAACACTTGGATGCATAAAATTAATCCTCATTATTTATGTATTTCATCATACTCATATAGCTGCCAATCTCACAGACAAGTGACTCTTAGTGGCATACAACAAAGCTAACAACAAATAATTATTAAAAAATTTAAAATGATAAAAAGCACAAAAAAGTGTATACCATATTTTGTTTATTCCGTGCTGCTGTCCTTCATCAAATGCTCACATTAAGGACAGCTGAACTTACTAAACAGTGTATGTGTTTTAACCTCTTTTTGTCAGAAGCAGCTTGCCATGCAAATAATTCCCTCTGTTTTTTAATCAGTTTGTGAACTTGATCAGTCTGTGAACTTCAGAGCAGAAAGGCAATAAAATTCTAGATCTTCCAAATCATAAGGCACATTCATGGTACTACACTGTATACACAGATGGAACGATATCTATTTCCAATACATTGTCATTTTATTAGTTGGTTAGATGAACAGAATTGTTAGTCAGGCTGCTATGTAGCACTGTAATGTAGGTACTGGACTACAAAAAGCAAGAGTGTTCTGCTGCTGATTTTTGCTTGTATTCAGTGTCTGATGCATCTCTCTGCAATGTCCAACAATGGTCCCCCAACACTGGTGGATTCTAGTTGCCCTGATACTGGTTTTCCATTGTGATGGTGTCCTAGCGAAACCTTTCTTCATGTTCGTCACTGACTGCACCTAGATTTTCTAAACTTGTCCATGTGTGAATGCAGAAAATTAATCTTCAGTGACATGTTGCACTTCATGGTCCTGTATACTGTAAGTTTGTCAGACAGCTGAATGTAGTTTGGTGCTGTGTAGCTACCAAGAAAATTCTCAACAACATCCTTGAATGCTTTCCAGGCAGTTTTCTTTCACCCCACTAACAGATCTTCAGACAGCTTGTCATTGATAAGGTATTTGATCAACAAAAATGCATCAATTATTCCTGGAAACATCTGCGTCAAATAACGAAAACCTTCAGTTTATCTCTTTCACAATTTTTTTCATCAGTCTGAGTTTTATGTGACACAGAGGCGAAAATACCTTTTGGGGGTCAAAAAGTGGTTCTTGTGCCACGCTTTTCTGTCTTGGAACCAACTTCTTTCAGAATGGCCATTTCTTTTTAATGTAATGTGACTCTCTTGCACAGCTATCCCATTCACATATATAATAATGGTATACCTGGAGTACCATTCCAAGAAGCAGAATCACTACTTTTAGATTTTTACAGATATTCTGGTTATACTTAGGGTACTGGATGTGCTTCAACAGTTCCATGTTTTTTTGTGTTTCTTTCATGTGTGCAGCAAAGCCAACAGGTACTAAAGAACATACATTGCCCTTGTTTAAAAACAGAAGATTTCTATAAAACAGTATATTCTGAGTTAAATTACAGGTTATTGTTGTGATTTGCAGCCAAAAATCTATAAAATACGCTCAAAAATGTTCAGAAAGCAAAATCCTTGTTTCCAATGTTCTTAGCCAGGGATTGTTTAAGCCACTGTGGTTAATTTACATAATACTGAGTTGACAAATCACAATAACTGGGTTTCCACTTAGCACAAATCAAGAGCCAAATGAACTGAATAAATCCAGTTCCTTATTTGTGAGTCATAAGCTGTCTTGGGTATGATTTATGATATATAGATAAATATTTACAGTAACAGATATGCATGTGTCACTCATCCTGAAATCCCTGTATGTACAGCAATGCTGCATTGCTTTGCTTTGTTAATGCCTGATAGATGATTGTAGAGAATTCCTGAGTAATTGAAATATTTGATATTTTACTCAGTATTCTCCCAGGCTATTCTGCCCATTTGAAAAAATAGATACTATTTCAACACAGTGTCTCTGCAATTCACTTTTTTCCCCTAAAGAACAAAATTTTCCTAATTCCTTTTTATACTTGGCTTATGTGTATGTTTTTTCCTCTAGAAAAGAAAAGTAATGGGAACACTGAATGGTCATACTGACAGAATTAATTGTGTTAAATGGATTCACAGAAAAGATGGATGTAAGTATAGTATCAATGCGTCCACAAAAATTTGCCTGTTTGTAATACTTCTACTTTGTACCTACTGTAGAATAATAGAAAATGCTGGTGGAGAATTTAAAATTCATTTATAAAGGCACTGTAAATAGAAACCCTGAAAAAAAACCATGATAGCCTTGATACATTGCACTCAGCCAAATTTCCATTGAGCTAAAAGCCACACCAAGCTTTGGATTTTTCAGGTAAATGCTACACTCCAAGAAAGAACAAAGACAGATTTATATATACATATTTTATTGTGTTGTATTGATTTTCAATATTATTTTATTTTATTGGTTTTCAATATTATACTTTATTATTTCATGTTTAAAATCTGACTTTATTAATTTGGCAGGCTATGTGATAATAACAAAAAAGAAAAAATGTATTTTTATCAGTAGAGGGAGCTATGATACAGAGACTTTGTCATAATCTTCTCTGCTAATATAAATGGCACTTTTGTTCATTTTGTCCCAGAGAAGTATAGTGAAAAATGTGCTGTCTTTTTTCCCCATAAGTCAACAATATCTTTTTTTTAAAGGAAAAAGCTGTAGCCTTCCACCAAGTGAAAGACTGGGTAAGGGTGGAAAGGGAGCACATGGAAACTGAAAGAGAGCAGGCAGGCTGATGAAGATGAAGATCAGGCAGAGCTTGGGGAAAGCAGTGAGAAGTTCTAGAAAGATTTATTTCATGTTATTTTATTCATGCAATTTCTATGAGTGCTCAATTCACAAATTGCAATTCTGAGTGGCTAATGTACAATTTAAATATAGAAGAAAGTACGTAATAAACATGAAGATCTGAAAGGGCAGGGACAGATCATCATGGAGAAAATCTGTATGACCTTTGAGACAACACCAACTTGATGGTGCATAATCAAAACAAAAACACACAAACACATCATAAAACAGCATAAACCAAGGTCAAAATATTTCAATATTAACGCCAGACTAGGTTATCCAATGTCCTGGTCCAACATATTATGGAATTTATGTAACTCTCAATATTTTAAACATACATAATTAATTGAATAAGTTTTGAATACAGAATAGAGATTTTTTTTTTCTGTTAAGTTCTCAAAAATATTATCTGGATTATATTGACAGCCAGAAAGCCTTGATTTGACCTTGGACTGTCATAATATGCACTTTGAATGCACTCTGAAATAATGATCAAACTTATTGTTTCCAAAACAGTTATTTATTTATCAGATATCTAAGATTTACATTAATAGCTTTAACTGATGTCCCTCCACTCCCTTGGTCCATAAAAACCAGTGTTATTGTATTGTTGTATGAGTGCCCTCTGTTGGACATTCGTACATTCAGAATGCATTCCTGAAGTGTATACATTTTTCAAGATCTAGGCCAATAATGCTTGAAACCTCTTAGAAATGTAGAAGTTGGAATGATACTTCTATATATCTGAAGTTACTTCTCTACTGTGTTCAGTGGCTTCATTAATAAATCAAACTGATGATTTAGTGTGATTCTAGATTCTAGAAGAATTTGACATCAACTCCATACTTCGGCCTTAATATTTTTAATCAAGCTACTTGGTAATCTTTCTGTTTTATGTTGAGGAAGACCTGCCAAGGTTCTTGTCCATATGATTGTTTTTCATTAAAAAAGAGTGATGAAATATTACAAAACAAGCTGCCAGTGATATTTTTATTTCTAATAGTGCTTCTTGACCTCAAATAGTCTCTTGAACACTCAGTTAATTGGAGCCCAATACTTCAACTGGAAATGTATAGACCTTCCTGGAAATATGGAAAAAATAATCAGAAAATAGAAAGTAATCTCTACTTAACCAGTGTGATCTAGTGCGTAAGGCAAGAAAATTTGCTAGACAAAACCCCCCGAGATCATGAGTTCTAGTCCCACCTTAGGCATGAAAGCCACTTGGGTGACTAGCCCAACTCACCTTGCAGGGTTGTTATTATGGGGAAAATAGGAGAAGGAAGGAGTATTAAGCATGTTCATTGCCTTGAGTTATTTATAAAAATAAAGTTAGGATAATAAATAAACACATTTTTTTAAAAAAAATAAGGAATATAGATTATATGGAAGCAATGTTCCATTAAAATAGTGCTTTGTAACTTGTTAAACTGTCCACAGCAGCCATTGTATGAATGTACAAGACACAAGACCATCCCAAATTTTGCAAGAATTCCCCAAGTATGCTCTCAATATTCTGTCAGGTAAAAAAGATTAGGGAATCCTGCAGAGGGAGATAGCAACTCTCAATTCACATGACCTATTCTGCAATGGGTTAAAATGCTACATTTAACAGCTTAATACTGAAGACCTATTTTGTGATTCTTGGGGTGCCAGGATGCTAGGAGTTAAGAAGCTTTTAACCAATAGAATTAAGAATCTGTTCCTATTAATATCATTCTTATGAATGGAAAATGAGGAAAAGATGTAAGTTGATTTGATTTAATGTATATAAATCTATTACATAATAAATAAAATACCTGCTGAGAAGACTATAATCCATACTGAACACACACACACACACACACACACACACACACACAGGAGAGAGAGAAAGAGAGAGAGATATTAAATGAAAAGTAATGCCTCTAATGTTACAAATCACCAACAGATGGCAATATTGATGCTCTAGAACAAGGGTCCACAACCCCCGGACTACGCAAGTGATGAGCAGGCGAGTATGTGAAATTCCATTTGGGCAAATGGGAAGCCCACCACTTGTGCAAATGGAGTTGCTCACCTGCGTGCTCACACATGCCCCCCCCCCATGCCACCATCACCGCAGAACTGGAAAAAATTGGGGCCAGCTGCTCTAGAAGCTCTGATGTGGTCTTTGGCATCTCTTCTTCCACTTCATTTGGTGGGTTGTTGCTGTGAGAAAACAGCAACTTTTGTGTTGCTATAGTTCATGAAATGGAAGTCTGCAGTGAGTAATCACTGCACTTTAAGCAAGGCACTGTGAAAAAGTATGTAGTAAACCTCTGCATATTTTTTTATATAAAGGAATGCGATCATCTGTTTAGTGAAAAGCAGAAGGAATAAATTTTATTCTAGTAAATTTGTGAGATTCTGTTCAGGATTTATTACAGCCTTTCTCAATCTGTTAGACTCCAGATGTGTTGGAATCATTTTAAAATTACCAGGTAACATGACTATAAAATATAGTGGCTAACTGTTTTGAGAATTAATTTTCTGCAGAGAATAAAGCTGGGAAATATTTATTTATTATCCTTGGAGTGTGAGAGTCCTATTTTTTTTCCCTTTGGAAGTGATAAGAAAAAATAAAGCAAAAACAACTACCATTATTTACAAAGAGCAGCTTAGATACAGAGTAAAATAATTTTGACCAGCATTATTAAATCTTTTTATATCCTTCTGTATAATAGCTTATGAAACGGAATTAATATCTGGCGGGTCAGACAAAGTTCTTATTCTTTGGGAAATTCAAAATGAGAAGGTATGTAGAAATATCATGGTAAGTGAAGACCATGTCTTGTATACCTTGTATACATGACTTTTGAAAAATAAGTTGAGTGAGATACGAAACCAAACCAGAATTTCTTAAATTTCTTAAATTGATGTTATCTCCTTTGTGGTATTATGAAAGATATAAAGCTCCAATTGTGTTGTATTAAACAGTGTACACAAAGTAAAAAGATCTATTGCTGTCATTCAAGTTCAAATTTTATTTCATCGTGAGAAACACTATGAAATGAAATACAGTTATACAAGTAGTCCTCATTTAACTCCACAATTGGGACTGGCAACTTGGTTGTTAAGTGAAGAGGTCACAGAGTGAAACCGCAGCTGTGTTTATGACCTTACTTAAAGCATTCCTTTGCTTTACAGACCTGCAGATGTCATAAATGTGAGGATTGGTTCAAAAGTTACTTTTTCATCACCATTATAACTGTGAACAGTTGCTAAATGAGGCAGTCACTAAAATTAGGATTGCCTGTATAAGAGTCTGAACTATGACAAATATGACAAATGTTTGTCCTTAATGTAAAAGGAAAAAAATCTAAACAGATTTCCTTAAAAGCTTGTGTTTGCAACATAAAGAACTAGAAACGTTTCTAAAATGATGCTTTGATTCTTTGGTACCTGAACTATGTAATTAGTGCCAAATGCTATGCTTACATGAAATCTCAAAATATAATTTGCCGAAGCTACAGTACAAAAATATTCTCACTCTTTGAAAAGAATGATCCTCTGTAATCAGCCTTAATACTGCAGGCCTATTTACTTTGGAACCTGCTAAAAAGCTGGGAAAGAAAAAAAAGTGAGTTTTTAAGCTATTGGCATCCTTAAATGCTACCTGCTGCTATAGCATCAAGGGGAGATATAACTGCTGCCTAAGACATGGGTCTTCAAACTTGGCCCTTTTATAACTTGTGGACTTAAACTCCCAGAATTCCTCAGATAGCGTGCCTGACTGAGGAATTCTGGGAGTTGAAGTCCACAAGTCATAAAAGGGCCAAGTTTGAAGACCCCTGGCCTAAGAGAACAGCTTCATTTCTTCTATAATGACAGGAATACTACTGTTGGATTATGAAATGTGACACCGTTTATTATGCTGATAGAAGAGAATATAGTTCAGGATTGAACTGTGGGACCCTTGGTGCTCTCTGAGCTTGGCTGTTTTCTTGCAGATGTTTCATTATCAAACTAGGTAACATTGTCAGTGCTAGTAGGGAGTGGGGTTTGCTCTCAGTTTATATTCTGGTGGCTTGCCCTGTCAGTGTTGGTGGGAGAGGTCTTGGTAGTTCCTTGATTGGACTGCTGTTTACTGTTATTTGGCAGTTCCTAGATTGGGGTGTTGTTTGCTTCTTGATTATTGATCTAATGTCTCAGTTGTTAAATGAATCACTGGAGTTGAAAAGTTAATAACCTGGTTGTTAAGTAAATCTGGCTTCCCCATTGACTTTGCTTGTCAGAAGGTTGCAAAAAGTGATCACAGGACCTTGGGACACAGCAACAGTCATAAGTATGAACCAGTTGCCAAGCGTCTGAAGTTTGATCACATGAGCATGGGGAGGCTTCAAAGGTTGTAACTGTGAAAATGGTTGTAAGTCACTTTTTTCAGTGCCATTGTAACTTTGAACGGTCACTAAATGAACTGTTGTAAGTCGAGGGGTACCTGTACTTTGAGGCCCAGTAAAGGACAGAAACAAAGCCACCGGTCTCTAAATCAAGGAGAGAAAGTCCAAATTTTTGCCTTTTTTTTGGTCCCTGAAGGAAGAAACATTCTTATCCTTGAATGAAAAGTTGCCCACTGTATATGGTAATTATAAGCATCCAAATTGTATTCAGTATTATTTTAAAAACTTCCTCCCTACCGTGTTTTTAGAAATTATTTTAGAGAATGAAGGTTACATATATGGAAAATATTCCACAATCATTTTTAATATTTTCCGCTTTCTTCCATGTTTATGATTTTCCCCAACTCTAATGATTGTTAGATAATATAATAATATGATTGGTTAACATGTGTTTGGAAAAATATTATGCAATTTTTTTTACATACGCCACTCTACTAAAAAAAAAATCCTGTGCATCATTAACTGTTGAGAAGTATTTAGGTTTTTTTAAAATAAGGTTTTAAAATAAGATTTTATTTTAAAAAAAGGCATATTTTAGCAAAATGGCACCTTGGAAACTCTTTGAAGATACATTAAATGACTTAGCCAACATTTGGTCTGAGATTATTGTAATTAGAAAATCAGTGCTACTTTCCTCCTTGCCTTTATTTTAATATGCTATCGAAACTTTTAGAATAGCTGCACAAAGGTATTGAAACAAATATCCTTTTGTTTTTTGAGCACAGTAAAATGTTAGTTTTTACCCTAGCGAAGTCTGATATAAAGTCCAGATTAAATTGAAAATCAAAGCTGTGTAGGGTACATGACTTCTAACTGAGTGCAAAAACTGAGCACATGAATGCAGAGTTACTTATTCTCTCTGCTCAAATTTCATTGTTACACTTGTATTACATTCCACTTATTTCCATGGCTGTACAAAGTTGAAAATTGTGCCATCGCACGACAGTGTAAGTTTGAATTGCAAGGTTGTTCATCTTTGTAATTTTATAATTCTCTGTTTAGCTTGTGAATGATGTCCACCTTGAAGGTCACACCGAAGCAATTTGTGCATTAGATGCCATTTACATGAGAAATGAAAACACAGTAGGATCAAGCTTACTAATAGCTTCTGCAGCTTCAGATTCTACTGTCAAAATTTGGTCCAGAGAAAGAACAGAAGGTAAGAGTTCTTTTTCCTTTGCTCTGTGAAGGTACCATGTATCAAAGAATATCTTAAGTAAAGGCCCCCATATTCCAGATTGCTTCACGTCTTGTGTATGAGGGAAATATATTCCACGTTACCCTGCCCAATGTGCCTCACTGCACTTACCTTATTAGGCTAAGACAGGGGTGGGGAACCTTGGCTCTTTTATGACTTCTGGACTTCAACTCCCAGAATTCCTGAGCCAGCATGGCTGGCTTAGGAATTCTGGGAGTTGAAGTCCAGAAGACATAAAAGAGCCAAGGTTCCCCACCCCTGAGCTAAGAGAAGGCTCTAGCCCAGGGGTCCACAATCCCTGGGCTTATGGCCCACCTCCTGGCCTTGAGACATTCGGAACTGGGCTACGGAAGTGGTGGACAAGCCTGCGCGCATCCTCATTTGCGTGAGCAGCAGACGAGCATGTGCGCATACTCCCTTTGTGCAAGCGGCAGATATGCATACCCGTTGCTCGTGCAAATTTAGCTGAGACCGTGCATGCTTGCTTGTCACTTGCGCAGAACCATCCCCTCTCCCCTCCAGCAGTCCCACAAGCCGAAAAGGTTGGAGAACTCTGCTCTAGCCCAAAGACCTCCTATCAACTTATTTGACTTTGTGTGGATTTGAAGCAAGATAGCAGATGGCAATTAATTATGGTTTTGGAGAGAAGAAAAGTGAAATCCTCCCCCTCCCCTTCCCCCAATGAGTCTCCCTGCATTGCTTGGCTGACAAGCGCCATCTCCAACCAGTTAGAGATGCATGAATATGTGAGGTTAGCATTTTTAAATTGTGCTCCTTGCAAAAAGGTAGACCACTTCTGGCAGAGATCCTCCCTATTTTTTGCAATAATCTTCATTTTACTATTTGTAGCAGCTGGATTAGAACAGATGCTAGTGCTTTGTTCATCATACTTCATATTTTGACCGCATTTCCATGTTTGTTTTATTTTTTGTTATGCCAGGAAAGTACAGGTTAATTATTATATAAAGAATAAACAAGTAAAGTTCATACACATTCATATAAACCACTTTCAGATCTTCCTCTCTGGAAAGCTGTTTGTTATAATGAATAAAAAAGTGATTCACTTTTAATCTTTGTCATTATAAGAGTTGCAGGCATTTGTAGAAAAGAAGTTAGCATCAGTCCAATTGCTGTTCAAGAGCATTGCATCTCTTAAACATCAGCTACTGTGGATAAATAATGAAATATAATAATATACAGTAAATATATTTGTATTATGATATTTATAATAAGGATTATGACTGTTGCTGCTATGATGCCTTCTAACTTCTTTTTGTAATCTGTTCTTGAGTAAAACTAACTTCTCTGTTGTTGATTTTCTCTGGGTTATATCACCATTTACATTAATCTTGGGTAAATTTTAAATTTCTTTATGACTACAGTTAGCAAAGCTGAGCAATACTTTGGATTCAAAGGCAAAAAGGTGCTTCAAAGCACAGGAAGATACTTGTGTAGGATCTGCCTGCAATTTCTGAAGCCAAATGCAATTTTTGACGGATCATATGGCAGCTGTGCAATCATGGGGAAAATCTTAACGGCTTTAAGGAGCTGGAGGCAGGGTGTTACTTTACGCAGCATTAAGCAGATTTATTTATTTGAAATATAATAATTAATATCTAATTTCCATATTTTTATTAAATATCTTAAGTGTTCACTGAATAATGCAACTTTATTTTTTCTCTCTCCTTAGTTAAGTGCCTTCAGACATTGATGTTTGGAAATGGATTTGTTATGGATGTTTCATTGTCCTTCCTGCCAGGCAATGACAGTAAGAGTGGCTGTGTAATTTTTTTCAATCATTTCAAGAAATGCCTAGTAGTGCCAGTGCATATACATGTGAACCATATATATATATATATATATATATATATATATATATATATATATATATATATATATATATATATATATATAAACATAAACATATATATTAGAAATTACTAAGTTAGAAATCACTTGATCATCACATAACTGGATAACTAGCCTGTCATCTCCTTTTTTCAAAGCCTGTTAAATGAGATAGTTAAATATTTTTAGAGCAAGATATTTTGATCTATTGTTGTTGCTGGGGGAAATCCTTAAGAATTAGATTTTTAGTTTGTTAAGTTTATTATGTTAAGTTTTGTGTGATTTGACTCTTATTTTTTAAGATTGAGTTCCTTGGGTCTGTTTAATAATAATGTAATTTTTACTTGTTTATTGGATTTACATTTTCCCTGTCAAGAGCTCAAAGCAGCATGCATTGTGTTCTGTCTTCCTATTATTATTGCATAGTTATTATTTCTAGTAGTCTGTATAATAGGAAAGAGAATGAGAGAGAATGGTGGACCGAGAGTCACACATTGAGCTTTTTTGCTTCATGGTGGAGTAGAACGTGGAACTTTCAGCATCCCATATCTGAACTACAATAGCACCTTTGAAGTTCCCATTGAGTTTGGTGGGATATACTTCCAGGTATATGGGTCTATGTGGCTCTGTGGATTTAGTTCCAAAGAATTGCTTAGAACATACCGGAATTTGAAACTTATACCTGGCTGTAGTTCTTTAAAGCACCCTTTCCCCCCCCCCCCAAGCATTGTATAGCAGTCCTCTACAGCTGCCACACAGTTCAGGGGAAAGAGGAAGGTGCTTTAAAGAAAGTGCCAATGCAAATGCCAATGCTCCTTTTTGGAATTGCATCCAAAATGCTGCCTAGCCCTGGTGGGTATACAGTCATTGTCTTGAACTATAAGCTTATGCCTCTCTCCTCAGAAGTAAATCCCACAGAGTATGAAATAGGATTTACTCTTGTCATCTCCTCTTCCATAAATACTTTATCTTGTTTCTGTTTTCTTTTGCTTCATTACATTTAGTTGAAACAGCAACTTTTCAATGATCTTTTATTTCAGTACTGGTACTGGCTTGTGGTGGTGATGACTGCAGAATTCACTTATACGTGCAACAGGCTGGAGAGGTAGCTATTGTTTCTGCTTCTTAGTCTATAGGATTTCTCTTGTGGTGTTTCATTTCTTAACTTTTAAGTTTTCAAGATTTATACCCTGTTTAATTCCTAAATCTCAAGTTCAGGGAAGTTTGAAATCTCTAGTTTAGAGACAATATTTCTGGAGAGTAACTGTCTTCAGCTGATTGAAGGTGTCATTTTGATAACCAATTAGCCATGTTCAAAAAAAGTTGTTTCAAAGCAGGCTCATTTATTGATGTCAGGTTAATCTATTAGGATTTCAGCGCTAAATAGTTGAGGTCTGTTCTTCTCCAGAGGAGAAGCTGGAGAAAGGAAGAAAATGGGTCTAAAGGCCTTGTTAGATGTAATGAAACCCACTTTATTTCTAGTCCTCTACCTCAGCCAAAGATTGGCCTGAGGCATTTGGGCAATTTTGGTGCTTAAAATATTTCACAGTCTCCATGTATTGGTTCAAGACTTTGATAGCATGCCTGGTAGAGTGGCTGGGTGTACAGCAGGGTATTATCAGTATATTGATGATATTCTACTTTATCTCCAATAATGAGTGACCTTAGCAATTTAATGTAAATATTAAATTGCATGCAAAAGGGAACTGAGCCCTCGGCACCCCCACATAAAAACATTGAGTGGAAGGGACTAAACCTCCCAGGAGGTGGGGAAAGCTTCAGCTCCACTTTTGAGGCAAAGCACAGAGTGAAAGTGCCGGCAAGGTCGTTGGAAAATTCCCCTGTGACCTCAGGAAATTCTTTGGGAGCTTCGGGCATCTGAATTTGTCCTCACCCAGCAGAAGTCAAGTGTGCCAATATGCTCCTTCCTTTACCTGATTTCTGTTCTTTAGTAGTTTAAAATGCTACATTTCTGTTATTGTAGTATTTTCATTTTGAATTGAGCTTGGATGCGTATGGGTAACTCCCCAGGAATCCCAGGCAGCTATAGCAATACAAGATAGAAGTGAGTACTAGTCAGAATTCAAACAGTTGTAAAACAAGGTTGTACTACACACATCGTAGTGGTTCCCAGCTTGACACCCTATATGAAGCTATATAGAGTATGTAGGAATGCTCTGAGTTCCAATTCTTATGAGGAATGAAAGTCTTGGAGTTGTACTTGCAATACAATTGAGAGACCCTGAGATTGAAGAATCTTCAGTGATCCAGTAAGGAATTTACTATGGTAGAGATGTAGGAAAGGTGCAAAAAGCACCAAAACTGGATGTTAAGGAACCGCCAAACTGCACAGTGGAAAATTGCAATATGTGTTTATGTTGCCTATTAAGAGTTGCTTGTTTGTTTCAGTTTCAGAAATCTTTACTACTATATGGACATGAAGACTGGATAAGAGGAGTTGAATGGGCATTTTGTGGTAAATCTCATTCAGTCTGGCTTATGAGATTTCAGGGGGGGGATTTCTCATGTTCTGAAGACATAAAAGCTGGGCACTTAACATATTTAAAGTAATGCTGATGAAAAATTGAATTCTATGCATGTTTCCATAGTTTTTCTGCTCTTACATGTAACTTCAGAACACAATTACTATAAACTATAGTTCGTACAACAAGTAGTTATGTTTTTTTCTCTGTTTAAAGGTATGATATCTCTCTCTCTCTCTCTCTCTCTCTCTCTCTCTCTCTCCCTCCCTCCCTCCCTCCCTCCCTCCCTCCCTCCCTCCCTCCCTCTCCCCAGAAGCTCATGGGACTTGAAGGGTAATAGACGCTTCCTAGTATTACAGTTAACATGATAATATAATGTAATTACAAGACATGAACCATTGCAAAAAGGAAAGTTCCAGTTTTGTTTATTAACTAAGCATTGTATGTATTGATTTCTTTAGGGCACTGAATCTTAAACTCTTTAATGACTGGTTTAACTTTTTTAAAGATGGAGATCTGTATTTGGCAAGCTGTGCTCAGGATTGTCTGATAAGAATCTGGAAGATGCATGCAACTTCATTGTTCGGAGAAATCCAAGATGAGGACACTATTAGATTGAAAGAGAATGTTTTCACCATAAAAAATAACAATGGTAAATCTGTTCTTTTGTATTGGATTTTTCTATAAAGATGCTTTCAGCATGGTTAAATAAAAGATGTCATTCTTATTTAATGCATTGTTAAAGAATATGCTATTAATTAGCTGAAACAAGGGCTTCACTGTGTTTTCTTTCAGTTAACTTAATTGATGCCCCCATGACATACACACACACACACACACACACACACATACACGTGAATTTAATTTTGTCTGATGTATTTTTATATTAATATGCATTTACATTCTTTACATTGATATAGCAATAGCACTTAGACTCACATACTGCTTCACAGTGCTTTACCGCCCTCTCTAGTCTATAAATTGAATAGAAATTATTGCATCCGACTGAATATAGTGATTTTTTTTTTCTACATCACTGGTGTGTTACATTTTATCTACAGTATTTGGAAAACATGTATTTGCATCCAGCACTTTGGATGTATAGAAGTCTTCTGTCCTCATCGTATCTTTTTTTCACAGATGAATTCGTAGATACAGGGTCATAAATTTTGTCACACAGTTATTTGTAAGGCTGAATCATTTATACAATGGCTAGATAAGTCTTGACAATTAATTTACTCTTTGACATTTGCTTTCCATTTTGATTGATTCCAACACATGTAACAGAATTCTCTTGAATGTGCAATGTGGGAACTCTCTGACAGTAAGCTATTACCCTGGTACATCTAGTTTCAAATATTAAAGAAGGTGAACTTGGCTGTTTTAAAAACAGGCTGGATTTTTTTTTCACTCTCTTTTTCACTTTTTTTGTTTTGTGATAGGTGTAGATAAATCCTTTGCAGTTAGCTTGGACTCAGTGCTAGCTGGCCACGAAAACTGGGTATATGGTGTTCATTGGCAACCACCATATTTCAAAGGTAAGAAGTATGTAGTTTCTAATTTGGGTTACTGACAAAGATGACAATGAATGTGGAATGGAGAGCTCCATGCTCAGTTACCCCTCCTTTTTCAGAGCATGGAAAATTTGAAATATGTGACAGAACAAAAATCATGGCTTTTTTTCACCCTATGTAGAGTGAAAACATTTGTGTGGTGCACCAGAGATTGGGAAGTATAAATCATTTGGTATGCATCTGTTAGCATATAATTACAAGAAAGAGACAGTAATTTTTGATCCTTTAGGCAATAATTTTTTCTTCTCTAAGGACCGAGGCTAAATATCGTGCAGTTTGATTAAATCCGTAAACATAAACCTGTAAAATAGGCACTGAAGAGAAATAGTATCCAGGATTCAATTTATAAGATTTTTGTCCCTGCACACCTTTGAGGACATTGTAAATTGTGACCTTCCTTCTAACTTCAGCCATGTTTAGTTGTTTTGTGTGCCATTCTTGTAAAGTTCCTATTTAAACTTTCCTTCAGATGGGATAAAAAAAAACCTGTACTTGACAAAACTGAATGAAAACATGGGGATATTTTTTCCTGATACTGTAGATGGCAGGATGGAACAGCCTATGAGGTTACTGTCTGCTTCAATGGACAAAACAGTGATCCTGTGGTCTCCAGAAGATGAATCTGGAATGTGGTTGGAACAGGTAGATGTGGTTTTTCATTTCCCCTGTTTGTCTCATCAGAGTAGAAGAAATATAGAGCTAAATCCCAATTCTCAAAAGATTTTAGGCAGGAAATATTTTAATTTTTTTTCAGTGGACAGGCAAAGAGAAACCAGGTTTCAATATTTAGAACATCAATAAATTGAGTCCCCTGAAAATAATAACTAAAATTTTCATTTGGGTTTTGAATGGGGAATAAAACGTAGGAACACTCTGCACTGAAGGTTTTCTCCTTGAAATCCATGATTTAAATTTGATGTTTTAAATCATCTGGATTTAAATGGAATCATATAAAAATAAATAAATATTAAGACTCTCGTGTTTTCCTTTTGGTTATTATTATTAAAAAAAATTGGGTGCTGTTATTTTAAAATGAATGCAATACTTTTCTAAATATACTATTTCTAGATAGTATCTGGACAGTGTCTCTAGACAGTATTCAATTGAATGCTCCTTCTGTACATGAAGGCAATTCACTGTCAGAATAAATAGAGCCTAATAAATTCATTTACTTTTTTTTTAAGCCAGTTAGTGCCCATTGCTACATCTTATCCTTAATAAAAATAATGGAAAGCATACTTTGCAAATTGTGACCCAGGCTTCATTTGCTTCCTTTCTAAAGTGATATCCCTGCCTGGCATTAACCACAGTCTTGAATTGCATGAACCTAGGTACAAATAGAAGTTCCTTTTAAACTGGAGATTGGAACTCTTCTTGAAACTGGGTTAGCCAACCATAGTCACAGGAAAATCTGGCATGGATTAAACATGGGAACAGAATCTACACTGGATAGGGGAGGGGTGGAACTGAGTTAACATTTAACAATTACTTTGCGGGAAATCAGTTTTGGTTGATTAGGCAGAGTTTGAATAAACACTTTTTACATTGCACGCTGCCTTTGAGTTTGGCATGTAAACCAAGCATTTAAAAATAACTGCTTTCAATACAATATATGTGAAATAATTTTTAGAGGTTGATTATATTACTTTTTATACTGTAGCATTTGATCCCCGCCTCCCCCCCCTCCCAGGAAAAATATCTCTATCAAAACAATTATTCATTATATATGAACTTGCAAACTATCTTGCAAATCTGTTTTCAAAAAGTCTGTATTATATTTTTAATTGTGCATAACATATGAATACATCTAGAATGACATTGTTTTAACTTCACTTTTGGTGTAAGTCTAAATCATTTGTCTTTTGCTCACCGTCTTTAATTAGCAGAGGGAAGGCACATGCATTCATGCGTAATATTTCTTACTTTTTCAAAAGGTCCGAATAGGAGAAGTGGGAGGAAATACACTTGGATTTTTTGACTGTCAGTTCAGCCCAGACGGATCAATGATTCTTGCTCATGCTTTCCATGGAGCCCTTCATCTTTGGAAACAAACTTCTGCAGACAAGGTAAGGGAGAATTTATTTCTGACACCAAAGCATACATGGAATATCTTTATATAGGAAGGAATGGCTCGTTCCATACAGCCAAGTTGTATATTTTTAAATACCTTTTATAAATTGAGGAGGGTTTTTTCCCCTTTCTGCACTGTAATGAATAGCAAACAAGTTCAGTTGAATCAGTTTGGATAATTAGGATAGACTTGTTGGCCTTCGTGGGTAAAACAGATGGCTATGTGAAGTGATTTTGGGGTCAATCAGCTTTTATCTATCTGGCCCAGGATGATCTCTTTTTATAGCCGAGCTTTCCCAGGTCTGTGACAGAGACATTTTGTGTTTACTACAGCATTCAGATCTGGATTCATCATGTTCTGCTTGAACATTGCTGTGCCATTGGATACTCCCTGTTTCCAAATTACTGCTTATGATTCTATAGCTGAAAGCACCAAGGCTACTGGAAGATTTGGGCTGAGCTTCCAAAGGCAGACAGCTTTGTTGTAAACGTTAAAAAACAATCAGAATCTTTTATCATTCAAAAATGGCACTTAATGTTCTTTGTCCTTTCTAGTCATTATATGCTGCCATCCCTCATTGGCCATTATGTTTCGTTAAATCAATGTGCTATAGTGCTTAAGGAGTAAGAATATTCAGGGTGAAGTTCACCCTTCAACCACAGAAGCTTGTTGGCTGAGTTCTTTGGATCAAGTCGTACTTTCTTAGCTCAATTTGCTTTACAGGATTGTTGTGGAAAAAAACAGGAAGAGGAAGTGTTATGAAAACTACCTTGAGCTCCAGAATTAAAGCTGCAATATAAATCAGATAAATAAAGCTTAAATTGATTTTCAACTTTTTTTTTTTTTTTTTATTGAAAGTTTTATAAATTTTACAAAAAAGGAAAAATAATACAAAACAAGAGGCAACATATACAGAAAAATAAAACTAAACAATACATATATTAAATAAAAAAAAAAAAAACCCCATCCCCCAGCCCTCCCAAAAAAAAAAAAAAAAACCCTCCCTTCCCCCCCCCCTGAGCTTCCCAGAGCAGAATATAGGCTTAAAAAATAAAAATAAAAATTAAATTAAAAACTTTATATTTATATATATAAAAAAATTATCTATAATATATATGAAAATAAAACTTATGAAAAAACTATATAATATTTTTGTATACCCAATCTAAATTGTATAAATTTTATCCATTTATCCCAAACAGCAAAAAACTTCTCTTGCGTTTGTTGCTTTAAGAAAGCCGAAATCTTTGCCATTTCTGCCAGATAAGCTACTTTAAGAAACCATTCCTGCAATGTAGGCAAAGATTCCTTCTTCCAGTATTGTCCTACTAACAGCCTAGCGGCTGTGATCAAGTTTAACATCAATACAACCTCCTTTGTATCACAATCTGTAACAATACCTAACAAAAATAATTGCGGAGTAAATTTTACCCTCCTTCTAAAAATTCTCTGGATATTCCACCATATTTTAATCCAAAATGCTTTTATCTCTCTGCATGACCACCAAATATGATAATAAGAAGCCTCCTTATAACCACATCTCCAACATTTGGGTTGCACGTCAGGATACATATAAGACATTTTTTGTGGATCAAGGTGCCATCTATAAAACATTTTATAAAAATTCTCCCTTAAGTTCTGTGCTTGAGTAAATTTGACATTTCTCACCCAAATAGTTTCCCAGGTGTCCAATGAAACTGGCTCACCAAAATTCTGCGCCCATCTAATCATACAATCTTTAATTAGTTCCGTTTCTGAGTCCAATTCAACTAAAACCCCATAAATTCTCTTAATGTGGGTTTGTCTTTGATCCTTCAGTTGCTTAATAAGGTTTTCATCTTCTCTAAGAAAACCCACCTTACAATCCATCTTCCATCTATCTAATAATTGCCTATATTGGAACCAAGAATAAGTAAAATTTTCTTGTGCTAACTCTTCCCGTGATTTTAATTGCCAGTTTTGTCCATCCCATTTAAGTAACTGTCTATAAGACACCATATCCATTTTAACCCCTCTTTTTATTCCTTCTATCGCATGCCAAGGTATAGCCCATAATGGTACTTTAAAATCACTTTTATAATATTTTCTCCAAATCCTAAGTAAAGAAATTCTTAAAATATGAGATTTAAAAGCCCAATCTATTTTTTTATTAAATATTAAATAGGCATGCCACCCATAAAGTAAATCCCATCCCTCTAAGTAAAGTATCTCAGAATTTGTCAAATTTACCCAATCACTAATTAATGTTAAAACCACCGCATCATAATATAATTTCAAATTTGGTACCTTAAGTCCACCCCTCTCACGGAAGTCTTGCATAATTTTAAACTTAACCCTTGGTTTTTTCCCTGCCCAAATAAATTTGTTGAGACCCTTCTGCCACTCATTTAAATTAATCTCATTTTTCAAAATTGGTAACATTTGAAACAAAAAAAGAAACTTGGGTAGAATATTCATTTTTATCACTGCAATTCTTCCCATGAGGGATAATTGCAACTTTTCCCAATTCTTCAAGTCCTTCTGTACCCTGACCCACAACCTTTCATAATTATTTTTAAATAATTTTGCATTAGAAACAGACAGCATCACCCCCAAATATTTTACCTTATTAACAATCTCAAAACCCGTCAAGTTGACCAAAATCTGCTTCTCCTGACTCGACATATTTTTAGGTAAAATTTTAGTCTTATTTACGTTAATCTTAAAACCCGAAACCAAACCATAATGATGAATCAACTGTAATAAGTTTACTACAGAATAATCAGGTTGCGACAAAGTAACAACCAAGTCATCCGCAAAAGCTCTCAACTTATATTCTTTTTTATTAACATATATTCCTTTAATTTCCTGAGACTCTCGAATTTTGATCAATAATATTTCCAATGTTAAAACAAACAACAATGGCGATAAAGGACACCCCTGTCTAGTACCTTTCTCTATTGTAAAAACCTCCGACAAACCTCCATTAACAATAAGTTGTGCCGTTTGTTTTTGATATATTACCGTAAGGGCTTGTAATATCTTTTCACCAAAATTCATTTCTTCCATTACTCTTAACATAAAATGCCAATTCAATTGATCAAATGCTTTTTCAGCATCTAAAAATATGAGCCCTGCAGGAACTTGGTTGTTCTTGTCTAAATATTCTAGTAAATTAATAATTTGTCTGACATTATTTTTCATATACCTTCCTGTTATAAATCCTGATTGATCTTTATGCACAAGATGATGCACCACCCTCATAAGCCTATTTACCAAAATTTTTACAAATATCTTATAATCCACATTTAAAAGAGATATAGGCCTGTAATTTTTTGGTAGGGTAAGATCTTGATCCTCCTTTGGAATCAATGATATAAAAGCACTACGCCATGAAGGAGGAATCTCTAAACCCTGTAAAATACCATTAAAAAGATCATGTAATGGTTGGATCATCTCCTCTATTAGAACTTTGTAATAAACAGCTGTTAACCCATCCGTACCCGGTGCTTTCCCTAATTTCAATTGTTGAATTGCTGAGGTAATTTCCTCCTTAGTAATTAAACCATTAATTTCATATTTCTGATCCTCAGTCAGTTTAGGAAAACTTGCCTCAGCTAAATATTTATTTATATCTAGCATTTGTATATTAGTAGATTTATATAGGTTTTGATAATAATCCAAAAAAGATTTTTTAATCAATTCCTTCTGAGAAACTAATTTACCCTTATAGTTTATTTTCTCTATTATTCTTTGTCTCTGTTTCTTTCTTAATTGATAAGCCAACCATCTCCCAGGCTTATTGGCATTACAAAATGTATTTTGTTTCATAAATAATAAGTTGGTTGCAGCTTGATCTGCTATCAACATATTAAATTGTGACCTTAATAACTTTACAGATTCTTTAATACTCTCATCAGAAGGATTTAAAATCAAAGCCCTTTCTTTTAATTTAATTTCATCTTCAAGTTCTCTACGTTTCTGAATCTGATTTCGCTTATAAAAATTATTCATTTTTATCAAAACACCGCGCATAAATGCTTTACCTGCATCCCATACCATTGACATTGAAGTCCCCTTATACATATTCAAAGCAAAATAGTCCTTTAAACACTCCTTTAGTTTTTGAACATTCTTTTCTTGTCTAAACAAATTTTCATTAACTCTCCAAGATCTTCTTTCCTCTTTCTCTTGAATCAGCTCCATCCAAACTGGACTATGATCCGTCAGTGATCTAGGAAAAATCTTTACATTCTTTACTTTATTATACAAGTCCGTGGTAATCAAGAAAAAGTCAATTCTTGAAAAAGATTGGTGTCTATCAGAAAAAAAAGTAAAGTCTCTCTCCTCTTGATTACGTTCCCGCCAATAATCCCTTAATTCCCAGTCTTCTTTCATGTCAAAAAAGGCTTTAGGTAGCCTTGCTTGTTTAAGAAAAGGAGAGGAACCTTTCTTATCCCTTAGTGTATCTAAGACACCATTCCAATCACCCATTAATACCACTGATCTATAATCAAGCAAAGTTATTTTTTGATGTAACTGTTTATAAAATTGTTCCTGTTGTTGATTTGGAGCGTAAAGTCCAACTATAAGTACTTTCTTACCATATATACCAAGTTCAATCATCACATATCTCCCCTGGGGATCTGATTCTACCAGACAAGCTGGTAGGTTTTGTTTAACATATATAACAACTCCCCCTTTCTTCCCAGGAGCAGGAGATATAAAATGAGATCCCAAACGAGCATTAACTAAATATTTCTGGTCTTTAAGTAAAATATGAGTTTCCTGTAGACAAATAACATCATTGGTATGTTGCTTCAAATAATAAAAGATTTTTTTCCGTTTCTGAGGAGAATTCAATCCATTAACATTCCAGGTCAAAAACTTTGCCATCTCCCTTGGCACGCAGCCTGGAGAAGACACCATCAAAATCTGACAGAGCTGCGTGTGTTGCATAACTCTTGGGTCTTGCTCCTCCCACCGGCGGTGAAGCACTTCCAGGAGAACTCTCTTTGGGCTCTTTTTTATGTTGCTCCTTCTCTTTACGCTTATAGGCTGCACGAGTCATCCTCTGCTCTTTAGCCTCCGTCTGGCGTTGCTTTGCCACTTCTATCATCCCTGCGGAAACCAAATCTAATACCTCAGATTGCTGCTCAGCTTCCTTACCACTCAAAGATTTCCGACCAGATGAAGTTGAGCCTGCACCCAGGACCGAAGTATAAAAATCTCTAGCTTTATCAACTGTGTTCAATCTGTAGCGTGTCCCAGCATGGCTCAAAACAATACCCATCGGAATTTCCCATCTAAATGGCATCGATCTAACTTTAAGCTCATTGGTTAAAAAAGCAAAGTCTTTTCTACTTCTTAAAATTTTGGATGGGATTTCCTTTAGAATGATGACATCTTGGGCGGCAATCTGAAATCTTTTGTTGTAAAAGGCTTGTATAATCTCATTCCGCAGGGACTTCTTTGTAAAGTAAATCACCACATCTCTAGGCAAATTCTTCTGCTTAGCAATCCAGGAGTTGAGTCTATAAATTTTTTCCACTTCTCTCTGTAATTCTCCTTTATCCATATCCAAGGCCAGCGCCAGATCAGTAAGGACCACCTCCACCAAATCTTGATTGATATCTTCCTTGAGGCCTCTAATCCTCAGGGCATACTCCATCTGTCTATACTGAAACATCAAAATATCTTCTTGTGAGGAGTCCACCTTCCTTTCCACGTCTTGAATTTTGTCATCCAAAGAGTCAACTTTGTCTTCCACTTCCTCAAGCCTTGCGTCGAGCTTAACCACCACAGTAGCCAAACCTGAAACAGCTGCCAATATATCTTGTCGTAGTTCATTATTATTTTCTTGCAATTTAGACTTTATCCCCGTTATCTCTTCTTTGAGATCAGATTTAATTTCTGATTTAATCTGTGAAACAAATTGATTCATTTCCTCTCTCATTTGAACTACAATCTCTCCCATTATGCCTCTAACCTCTTGTACTGAAAGTCCAGGTAGAGGAGGGGAGGGTGGTGGCTGAGCCGGTGGTACATGTTTAGATTGTTGTTGTAGCTGTGCAGTGGAAGTTATAGGAGAAGAAATAACCTTAGGTGCTGAGGAAGGCTGCTGCCTCTTTGAAGCCATTTTAAAAAGCACAATTGTCACTTCCCTTTCCCCTCCAGCCAAAAAGGGAGGAGGAAAGAAAAAAAAAATTTTTTTAAAAAGAGACAAACTATAGTCATTAAAAGTCCAGAGTAAATCCAAAGAATAAGTAGTAAAAGAGCAAACAGTTCAAAAGAAAAAATTCTAAACCAAAAGCAAAAGCAGAAGCAAAAAACAGTCCTTAGAAAGGGAAAGTAAAACAAAAGAGAAAGGAAAAAAAACTCCGACAGTTTCAAAACGCCATCTTAAATCCTTTCACTAGTATAACAAAAAAAAGGAGGAAAAATAGTAAAAATCAAAAGATAAAAAAATAAACACCTAAAATATAACAAAAAATCCTTTAAACTGCTCCGTCCGTTTAAAAATTACTCACCAAAATGCTGTAAACACGGAGATAGAAGCGGCGGTTTCTTTTGCTTCCTAGGAAGCAAAAACAGCTGGGAGGCGGAGATCAGCAAGAGCTCCGAGGGAACACTCCTTTCACCCCCTCTAGAAATAAATCCAGAGGGGGTTCAGGGGTTCTACCTCTACTCTTGCGTTCTCTGTCCCTTCCCTTTGCCCGGGAAGGGATTTCCGAGCCGCGGGCCAGCTGATGCGCGCTGCGCTCCGCGGCTCTGACACTTCCCCAGCTGGACGGCTAAAAGCTAGCCGCCATCGCCGTCGCCTCCCACCGGAAGCTCCTTTTCAACTTTCGATATAGTTTTTTTTAGTGAAGAGGATTACTATATCCAACAACTTTTACCTCATTCAAGGATTACTGTATAAATGTTTTTGATTTAACAGAGCGAATGGACTCCAGAAGTGATGATTTCAGGGCATTTTAACTGTGTCCAAGATGTGAAGTGGGATCCAGAGGGAGACTTTATAATTTCTGTCGGTTCTGACCAAACCACAAGGATATTTGCTCCATGGAAAAGAGAGAACAACTTGGAGGTATGTTTTTCCTAACTTGTGAAATTATGTGAGTGGAATACCTAGTTTCAGATTGTCCATTTCCAGACAGAAATATGAGTATTTACTCTGGGCATGGAGTCAGTGTGTGGAGAGAGTAAGAGATGTGACCTTTACAAAATAGGTAAGAACAATTAACTGTACCTAGACAAAGAGGACTAAAATGTTCTTTAAGCCTCAGGAAGTAAGATAATAATCAGAAGCAGCTCAGGTAAACTGCTCCCTGATTCACTGGAGGAAGGAGTGGAAGGATAGTGTAGTCCGACATAGAGGATTCTGTTTTTATAGCCTATCTCAGTAAACAGGTAGTTCTCGGCTTACAGCTTACAGCAGTTCATTTGGTGACTGTTCAACGTTACAATAGTACTGAAAAAAAATGACTTATGACTGTTTTTCACATGTAACGGTCATGGCAGCAGCCCCATGCTCATGTGATCAAAATTCAGATGCTTGGCAACTGACTCGTATTTATGAAAGTTGCAGGGTCCTGGGGTAATGTAACATACGACGTTCTGATAAGCAAAGTCAATGAGGAAGTCAGATTCACTTAACAAACATGCTACTAACTTAACAATTGCAGTGATTCGCTAAACCACCATGGCAAGAAAAGTCATAAAAGGGGGCAAAATTCACTTAACAACTGTCTTGCTTAGCAACAGAGCTTTTGGGCTCAATTGTGATTGTAAGTCAAGGACTAGCTGTAGTTTCTACTCTGGACTGTGGAGTTGATTTTCTGCTCTGGTCTGCCTATTCAGAACTAACAACGTGCATGTTTGATCTGAATGTTGACCTAAGACTCAGGTGCTCAGGCAGAATGGGAAAAAGGTAAAGACAGGGAACGATGGACCTTGGAAAAATTGAGGGAGGGAAGGGCAGGGAGGCCAGCTGGCTATTCTACTGTCACCATATATTTTTAACCACATGAAAATATTATGACAACTCCACTAGTTCAAATACAATATATCAGATGTGCTCCTTCTGATCATTGCAGGACCTTTCTTTTCCAGTTCTGCTTAGTTAACATAGCTAAGATTGATATTAGAGAAAGGGTAGGAGGATTGGTTAGATTGGTTAGATATTTTAAGCTTGAATTCAAGATTGATAGGAAACAAAGGGAGCTCAGCAAAAGAAAACACTAGGAAGGTTGGTGGCCAAACTGGTGCATGGACTCTACAGAGGAAGGTGGGAGAGGTACTCTAAGCTTGCCTTACTTGTCCCATAAGAATGCCAAAACCCAGAACAACCAAGATATTATGCTAAGCTTACTAGCTACAATGTTCTTGTTTTGGGCACAACTCTTGTAGATAGATTAGAGCTACTATATCTGAATGGCAAAACTCTGGATGACCACTGAATGGTAGCAAACAGATAAAGAAATTTTAAATTCTGAAAGTAGTTAGGATTTTTATAACCATGTTTTAAAACAAATAATTTTTTCCAACAGAATATGTAATCTGAACAATAACTCCTCTTAACATTTCTTAAACTCTCCTAAAATTTATGCATATTATATTGTTATTGATTAGTAGTTAGCTACTATAGTGTTATGACAATATCATACGAATATAAATATTTAGAATTTTATATTAAAATTAATCATTTAAAAATAAGTTCTATAATTATACTTAATGATATCATTATACGTGCAATGTAACGTTGATTATCTTCTGTTTCCAGTGAGAAATAAAGATCGTTAAAATAAAATTCAGGGGGAGGCCAAACTGGGGAACAAAGTTGTATTTTGAACCAGGATAGGATTTTGATCCCTTTCTGTCAGGTATTGGACAAGTCAGCATTGTTTGTCAATTATTTATTAATGAAAGAAGATTCCTGTCCTTTCCAATGAGATCTGAATAGAGGTGAGAATGCATTTTTGTGGGAAATGAACTGAATGCTTATTTTCAGCAAACTGTAATTCTAAAATTGACAATAGATGGATAGAGCTTAAAATGTTAACTTCTCCTATAGATTCTAAGATTGGTACTTGTATAAATGCAGTGGTCCTTTTACTAGGTGTCATGGCATGAAATAGCAAGACCCCAAGTCCATGGGTATGATATGCAGTGCATAGCCCTGACAACACGGTTTCAGTTCGTATCTGGAGCAGATGAGAAAGTGCTTCGTGTGTTTACTGCACCTAGAAATTTCATCGAGAACTTCAGCAGTATTTGTGGAATATCTCTGGAGAAATTATATTGTGATGTAAGTTATGTATTCAGTTGCTTTAAAAGAAAAATACCAATTGCTACTTTCTATGTTTGCATCTCTCATTTGAATTTGAGCACGTTTTTAAACATATTACAGAAATGTTGAATGAACTCATATATTCTTTACTTCAGGATGGGTTGAGGTTTGAGTTGTCAGGGGCTATAAAGAAGCCTCCTGGTCTTCTGTACACCATTTGAGAATGCTATGGTATCGTTGGATAGAATAGGATTAATATTTTCCAGGTTGCATTTTTTGGGGAAGGACAAAAAATGAGTCTCTATGAGTCAACCCACACCCATCCCCACTGTTAAGCATATGGTAGCCTCTTTGATGAATAATTCAGATCTGATTGGAGGGTTACTATCCATTTGTAAAAATGGACACAGCAATAGCTTGCCTTCAAAAATCTACGTTCTCACTGCTAGTACTAAAACTTTCCAGAAGCCAAAAATAGAACAAAAGAAGGCTGAAACTACAGTTTTAGGTAATTTGGGGGGACTTGGAGATAGAGCTTAAAAATAAGGATGCAAAGAAGAAGCCTTTGACTCTCTTTCCCACTTTTAATTTTAACAGAAGGGACCAAAAATGGCATGGAGAGAATTAATGTCATAGCCAGTCCAGTGAAACAGATCTGGTTAAGAAATTAACTTCACAAGAAGGACTAGAATTATATTCTGGTCTTGCTCTGTGTTCTAGAAGTATACTCTAGTTCAAGTCTTCCTGTGGAGTCAGTTTCCTGATCTGGTCTATTTTGTAGGCTAGGGGACTGCATTGGTCTGTGAACCATGGTTTGCCAAACACTAATGTTGCTGAGGATTGAGTTTGAATTTGTCTGTAGTATTAAACTTATTTTTGTGGAGACATGAATATAATTTTAAATTTGAACATCTGCTTAGTTACAATCAAATCAAAATTCTTAGAAAATGCTCATAATCTGTGCTGTATGGAATAATTGTTACTTCTGAAGATGTTTTGTACAGGCAATATTTGTGACTTAAAACCATGGTTTTATTACTTAATGTGGGGTATAGATAATTGTACTTGAACGTCGTTGAACAATTAGCATGACATATGATAGTTCACATATTTCTGTATGAGTTAGAAAATTAAAATAGAAGCAAAGATTTTAAATTAATTTGAGATTTTTTTCTGGGAATTCCTTAGTAACATATATACTACATTTTTAGATTTGTGACTCACAGAAAATTATGTTGAAGGCCAAACTTGCAAGAAGGCTATATCTAAAAATGAGAAGATTCAGACAATCATGAATAATATTTTCTTCTTCTTAGCAAATGGTGGATCTTCCAGAAGGGGCTACCGTACCAGCCTTAGGTTTATCTAATAAGGCTGTCTTTGAAGGTAATATCTGCCTATATATGTACTTAACTTTGTATTTGTGAACATGACTGTTTCTTTGATCATATTTGTGCTGTGAGGTTGATGAGAGAAATTAGCTGTCAGATGAGTGATCCTTAGTTAATTTGGGGAGTTCTTAGTGCTCTCCAGATGTTTGGGATTATAAATTTCATAATGCAAATTAGCATCTTCAATAATTAGATTTTGAAAATTGCATCCTAAAATATCTGCATGGTAAAAAGTTTCTGTCACCTGGATATTTTGCCTTTTACCTTACAAGGAAACATTTCTAGAAATTTCTGTCTCCATTTTGTTGTTAAATTGGCAAAATATAGCTTTACATATCAATTTAAACTATAAGATTGTTTGATATATTGCTTATCAGTACATAGGAACTATAACAACAACAACAATAATAATAAAGTTGGAAGGGACCTCCAACCCCCTGGTCAGGCAGGAAACCCTACACCATTTCAGACAAATGGCTGTCCAGTCTCTTCTTAAAAACTTCCAGTGTTGGAGCATTCACTGCTTCTGGAGGCAGGTTGTTCCAATGGTTAATTGTTCTAACTGTCAGGAAGTTTCTCCTTAGTTCTAGGTCGCTTCTCTCTTTGATTAGTTTTCATCTGTTGCTTCTTGTCCTGCCTTCAAGTGCTTTGGAGAAATAGCTTGACTCTTTCTTCTTTGTGGCAACCCCTGAAATATTGGAACACTATTATCACCCCTAGTCCTTCTCTTCATTAAACTAGACATACCCAATTCTAGCAACTGTTCTTTATATGTTTTAGCCTCCAGTCCCCTAATCATCTTTGTTGCTCTTCTCTGTACTCTTCCTATCAACTCAACTCAATCACTGTGAGTTGTTCAATGGACAATGGTTAAAGTACGATGTGCTTTAAGTATAATGTTTAAACACATATACAATGCAGTTACAGAACACTTTGACTTACAACCGGTAATTAAATGACTGTTCGGAGTTATGGCAGCCTCAAAAAAGGTGCTTAAAGCACTTCCAGCCTTAAAAAATATCACACTGCCCTCCACAGTCACATCAATGCAGTCTGGGCGCATTTATGACTGGTTGCAGTGTTCCACAGTCACATGACTATGATTTGGGACTTTTTTTTTGCCATTTTCTAGAAAAAAATGTGCATTTGAGAGAATGAATTAGGACTTAAGACCATGTTATATACATCCCTTTATTTTCTGTTGATGTTTACTCCTTGATACCTGGACAAAGTCAAACTGATTTATTTCATGAAATCATGGTTTAAAGTGACACAGTTTAGGCTCTGAGTGTAATGCTCATTTGGAATTAGTCAAAACAAAAGAAAATTTTGGTTCTTGTTCTTGAGGCTTCTCTCAGAAAGGAGAAGATCAGGAGGAAGGTATGAGCTAAGATTACCTGTGCTTTTTCTCATTATGTTAAACCATGGTTTGTTGAAGCATTTAAATGTTTCCTTCCTTTGTATAGTTTGGAAATGATTTAAGAAATACTTCTCATAGTACCTCTGTGCTATTTATTAAAGTCATCTACCTTTTCCAAGCTTCTACCAAGCCTGAAAAAAAAGATGAAGTTACTTTAAGGAGTTGATTCATTGCACCTCCTAATGCAGCTGGATCTGTTTTTCAAGCTTGCTCCAGGTGAAAAATGTTAGGTTGCTTTAATGAATAGTAGAGGCTTATGCCAAGCATTTCTCCAAATCAATTTTGAAGCTTGTGCAACTCTGTTATGCATATCACAATTCTTCATTTAGTTTGTTATTATGATTTTATATATGATTGGTTTTGCATATTTATCATAGTTATGTTCTAGTGATAGAATAGTTTTGCATATTTATCATAGTTATGTTCTAATGATAGAATACCTTCCTTATAAAAATAGAAAGTAATTGAAAAATGAAGTAAGGTCTGCTTTTGTTGGTTACCATCTGGAGTGGGGAGGTCACAGAATGCAAAACATTTTGAATTTAAACCATATCAAATTTGAAACCCCTTCTTTTATGCCCCAAACATCTCATTTTGTCCACAAAACAGCTACCTCAAGTGTTAAGTAAGGTTGTCTTGATAATTAAGGTTTGGACTCAAAATACTTCCAAAATGTTCAAAACAGAAACTTTCAGTGACAAAATGGTTAGAATTCAAAATGTTTTGCATGTTCCTACTAAACACCCAGCACCAAAACCTTAGGAAGAAAGGGTCCATAGTCTAACATTGTAAGAGAAGCCTTGTGTTTGAATTGATTGGACAGATCTAAGTAAGCAAATGATCTCAAAGATCCCAATGATACAACTATTTCTGTCTCAAAACCCACTGGTAGTGCAACTCTCTGCATATCTTTTTAGAATTAAACCTTACTGAGTTCAGTGGAAGTTACTCTCAGATTAGTATGAATGGGATCTTCTGCTGAGCCATATTTGATTTTGTGAGAGTGAGGCTTCAGTCTGTCAGCGAATCTAGCAGAAAGAAATTCAAATAAGCTATAGAGAATCTCCTTTAATATATTCACTAATACCTTACGGTATTTGTTATACAGGTTCTGGTAAGTTATCATGTTTAATTTCTTTTGAGCAACTTATTTTGTTCAGTGGAGTTACTATATTAATACTGTGTTGACTGAGCAAATGATGGCAGGTAGTTAGACATGGGCCTTGAATTCTTAATTTCCACATGTTGGTATATTATTTGAGTTCAGTAATAGCCCATGTAGTTTCAGAAAACTTTGATTCTTGAATAGAAGCAATTCACTCATAATTCATAATTGTTTTGAAACTGCAAGCTTTAATTGCTTCAGAAATAGGCCTACAGAGTTTAAAAGCTTCTAAGCAATGCCAGTAGAGGGATAGAAATACTGATTCTCTTTGATCAATGGGGCCATTAAAAGTGGAGGCAATTGACTCTGCATTCTTATATTAACATATCAAAACTTAGAAAGTTTTAGTGCTGAATAAATAATGAATAAATATTTGAACATTACCTGAGAAAAAAGGAACCAAATAAACTGTAAAGCAATTTGTCCCAGGCTTTTGATCAGATTGTAGAAATTATATTTCATTTGTGACTTCAAAGGGGAATTTAAAAGAAAGAAATGCATTTCATAGCAATCCAGGAAATTAAAAAAAATTATATAAGACCAGCAAGGTGTTTATTATTACAGATGGAGTTGTACATATTTCAGTGAGGAGAAGGCATGATTAGCAAAGTTGTTGTATGTAAATACCAGTAGTATTTTTAGTGAGATTATCTCAGGAAAAATTAGACCAGACAATCTAACCATAACAATTTTCTCAAAGTGTAGCATTTCCCCCCCAGGAAAGAATATATTGGGGGCATCAAAGGCACATCAGCTAAACATCCTGCCTGTGCTATCCTAATTGTTGAGAATAGAGCTTTTGTTTTCAGCATAGGGGCATGCCACTGTAATCCATTCTGGGATGTGTTCTCTGACATGCCACTGTATAGGATACTATTATTACAGTTATGTCAGGAGCGCCCAAATGTTTCTGGGATCATCCAGTGGCATCCCCATTGCCCAGGGTATACCCATTTGGGGGATCCTTTCGTGTCCCCATTAAGTTGCCCACTGAAGTTGTCCGCTTTCGAACTGCTGGGTTACAGCAACCAGGTCTCGAATGTAGTCTTATATGGTAGGGTATACTTAGAAAAAGTGCATAATCCAGCATCATCTAGTAAACTTATGTGGATGATGGAAAACTAAAATCTGGATCCCTCTCAGTCCAATGCCACAGTTTTGAAAATCCCTTTGAGTTTTGTGGATTATACCAGGGGCCCCCACCCCCCCGATCCGTGAACCAGTACTGGGCTGCGTCATGCCAGCAACCGGGCCACACAAACAAGCAAAACCCGATCTGCGGAATGCAGGCAGGACATAAAACCATGCACTCTCTGGTCCGTAGGAAAACCTTTATCCTCAGAACTGGTCCTTGGTGCCCAAAAGGTTGGAGACCTCTGGATTATACTTTTGGCCATTGGGATTTGATTCAGTTTCAAAAGGTGCTTTGGGAACATGTTGGAGCATGACATAGTACCTGCAGCTCTTTAAAGCTGCTCTGTCTTTTCCAAAAATTGAATGGTAATCCTTCACCAGAGCCACATTGTCATAGAGAAAAGAGGTTCTATGTGCGAGCCCCAAAGCACCTTTTTGGAATTGAATTCAAAGTCCTGCCTAACCCTGACAGATAGAGAATTACTGCCTTGTAGTGTAGACTTATACATACCTATTGAAGAGTAAATATAACAGCATAGTTGATTATTATAATTCTGGGTGACTGACATTCCTCTTCCGCAAATGTTTTATCTTGCCTCTTTTTTCTTTTGGTTTATTATATTTAATTGAGAGTAAATTAGAACTTGGCTGTCCCTGTTCCTAGTCCAACAGTTTGAAGAATATATCATTAATGAATGAGTGGTTCTAATTCATCTTGTCTTTTTATACTGCATTTTTTACACCAGGATCTCTTTTAAGAGCCTAATGAAATCTGAATGCATTGTTATACCATCTTCTTTCTTTCATCCTGTTGTGAGAGTTTAACTTATCTCAGCTCTTGTCATGGTTTGCATTGTGAGGCCCAATTATTTTACCTTGCAGTGTAATATTTTTTGACTTTCCTACTCATGCTGTTTACATTATGGCTTAACTTTTCTTCAGATTCTTTTTATCTAAAAACTGGAGTTTTCTTTCTGTTTAGTGTTCGGTAAAAGATGCCATCTTTTTGCAGATTCCATACTTGGTGAGTTTAAAGCAATAACCTTTCTATCTTTGCAGCTGCAGATACAACAGCTCAAACAACTGAAGAAGAATATCTCAGTAATGCTTCCAGACAGTACCGTGAAAATTATTTTCAGCCATGTAGTCTTTCAGGTATGCAATATGTTACATTCAGTACATAATTCTGAAGCAAAGCTGGTTCTTCAAACAGCTGACAAGTTGGCCAGTTCAGGATAAGGACAACAATGCTGAATCGAATTATTTCTTTCAGAACCTCCCACAGAAGATCATCTCTTGCAGAATACACTATGGCCCGAAACTCAAAAGTTGTAAGTTACTTTGTTTGTTGATGTAAAAACATACCTCCAAAATGGAAACCACTTAAAGTCCTCGGTTTTTGAGTAATTTCAATTTTACAGGTAGTTCTCAACTTATGACTGTAATGGAAGTAAATGCTGGAAATGGCAAAAAAACACTGAAAATCATGGTCACATGACTGTGGCACTGCAAACAGTTGTAAATCCAAACGGGTGGTCAACATCCAAAATGCAACCGGAGGGGGGGTGTATGGCTGTTGGAATTTCAAAAGCAAGTCAGAACTAGCTCTGGGAAGATCAGTTGTAATTTTGAACAGTCGTTAAGCAACTAGTTGTTAAACAAGAACAACCTATATGATTTTCCTGTTAAATGTGAAGTTCTGGGTTAAGTTAGGGTGAGAAATACGGATGCATTTTTTAAAACTAGCTTGTATATCTCACTCTTCACGAAAGGACCTCAATACAGAGCTACGAACAAAGGGAAATGCTACTTCATGCTTCAAGCCATTTAGTAGGCTTAGCAGAGAAATGGTTTATCAGAGAAATCTTCTTGTATTTCTACCATTTGAATTTTAATGCTAATCCAAACATGAAAAATTTTGGCCTGTTTTTGGCTGAAGAGAGTGATAAAACAAGGTAAAGAAAATGTGCAGAAAATGGCTTCCGGATTTTTTTTTTTCATATTTTTACCAGGAACAGGCATAGGAGGCATCTGAACTTTCTACTGTATAACAAAGTAATGAGCTGCAGATGTATCTGTTCATGTTCTCCTCTTATGTTATGTGTTTGTATGTACGTTTCATTGGGAAGCGCAGGGCAGACTGAATATGCTCTACTCTCAGTAACATGGAAGGAGGTCTAGAATGGAATTCCAATCTAACTAATATTTTCTTCCATAGGGATGCCTTGCAGAATTTCATCTGGTATTTTCTTCACTGTAGCCTCTAATCTGGCCCATGTTCAAGTTCTCTATCTCTGTTTCTTTTTAGTTAACTTTATCCTCTCACTTCCTCCAATTGTTGCATTTTTTAAAGAATTAAGTTGCTGATGGAGAAACATGCTCAGAATTCTGTCATGTTAAATAATTTCTTTCCCACATTCTATTGCCTTGGAAAAAAGAAAACAACCATTGAACTCTACAATGTGAGCAATACTGTAAGACATCAAGACTTTTAGATGTCTTAATAGATAGGTCTATTGATAGATCTTTCAGGTATAATGCCTTAGGGTAGCACTTCTTCGGGGCCTTGCCTTTTAGATGTAAACCGGACTCACAAATATTCACTGCATTTCCTGTTTCTGTGCTTAAGTATTATGTATCAGTTATTAGTTAATGGTTGGTCACACAGTCAGCCAGATATTGGATTTGGCACTTTATTCACCTGTCGAATTCTTCCCAAGGACTTGTGATAGGGAGATGTTGTTTGATAATGGTAAAGGTATTGTCACAGGAAGTAAGCTGTTCCAAATAAAGTTGCCCTTTGAAGTTAACTGATGGTGAGTTTTGTTAATGTTGATGGTGTTCAAATATTTTGGGATTTCACCCAAAGAAGCCTATCACCGTTGGTACTACCTTTGTTTTCTTTTACCATAGTCATTCTTGTGTTTCCAGGTCTTTGTATGTTGTGATTTTCTCCATTTTTTTCCTCTTCTATTCTGCTGTCCGCTATCTAGACTTTTTTGTCTTTCTTATTGACAGTTGTTAAATCTAGAATGTTGTGTGGCAGATGCTTGTCTGTTAAAGTCTGGGGTGTTGTGTGGCAGGTGCTTGTCAAGTCTGGTGTTGTGTGGTAGGTGCTTGTCCATTTGAATTCTAAAGTCCCAGAGCACTTCAGCTTCTTTATTTTATTACTTTTCTATTTTGTGGTCCCACCAGTTCTAATATTATTATTATTAAAATTATTGGCCACCCAACCAGTGGACTCTGGATATTATCCATGTTTAGTGCAGAGTTTGAATGATACACATTTTCAGTCTCCATAATCGTGACGTTATACTCCTTAAATCAGAGAGTTCTTCTCTTCACAACAACTGGATTGGTCATACAGAGGCGCACATTTTTAGGCCCCAAGTCTTAACACTCAATTGCAGCCTACAGTGCCTTCAAAAGGTCATTCTGATTGTGATTTATATTTAATATTTAAATGCAGATCAATTCAAAACTGGTCATTTTAACTCCTTTTGCAATGAGCTTTCCAATATGCCACTCAAAGGCCAAAGATGTGTCTTAGCCAAAGATGTCTATGCCTGGCAAAGAATTTGACTGGAAATACTTCAAGGAGAACTCCCTTCTATTCACCTGTTTTGGGGCTATCATGCAAGACTTCTGAAGCAGCTTTAACATTGTACATGGATCCATGTCAATTTTTTTTTAAACACATTTTATTGGTTTTTTAAATCTTAAAAAAAGGTGCTCAGGACACACCATGGTGTTTGGGTAATCAAACATTCAACAATAGAACCATATATAAATAACTCAACTCAATACATTCAATGTCCCTTCTCTATTTCCCTCAACTAGCATAATACGTTTAAAATATTCCATTTCTAATTTAAATTTCTATAACTGCTAAACCTGTTTTAAAACTTTGTAAGTTTACAATTACCATAATCAAATTTAACTTTAAATCAACAAGTTATCAATTCAGGTATCCCTTCCAGCTATATTCTCATTCTTAATCTCTTATATCCCTCATTTTATCACAAGTCTCATTTATTTCTTCTTCCACTACGCAATACATATCCTAATTAAGATAAAATATTAATCTACCCTATACATATATAATCCATCAATCGATCAGTCTCTTTAAAATAACAAAATAGTGTAAGTCTTAACTCATTTCAATTCATTAAACAAAATTCAAATTTCATCCAATAGATTATCATGCATTATCACATCTATATTATCATACAGAAATATCATCTTTCTAATTTAAAACAATTAATTATTAAAACAATCCAACTCTAAAAAGCCAGCATTTTTTCCATTCCAATACATAATAATTTTCATGAAAATAAACCTATTATTCCAAAAAGTACATTCTTAATCTAATTAAAACATCTGTTCTAATAATCAACCTTTTTATTACTTCTAACTCTGAATCTTAATCCTTATAACTGTCCATAAATCAATATTGCCTTTAAATCCATTACACAATTTTAAATTCCTCTTTTCAGTCTTATTCTGGCTTTTTTTCTGTGCCAGGGAGGTTTCCATAACCAAGCTTCCCTTTCAGCCAATAGATCTCTCTTTATTGCTTGTAGTGCCCTTTGAAACAATAGGAATCCCATCCTCTGCATTAGGCATCTATTTCTCTCATCCTTAAAGCTTTGTTGCTTTAAAGTTTCCAGTCTCAATCTTTCATTCTTCTGGTCCTCAAAGCTGTAGATGGAATATTTATAATAAAGTAACTTTCTCATTTATCTCAGTTGTTTCATCTTCTAGTATGTTTTGATTTATAGAATAGTCACATGTAGTCTGGAGATCAGTTTGAAGATTTGAAGTACAACTTCTGGATCTTAATTCTGTAGTAAACTCTTTCATTGTAGCACATATTTCTGCAGTGGCCTCATAAATCTTTTCCAATATAAGTTTTCAGTTTAATTGTAAATGAGCTTTCTCTGTTTTGATAATAATTAAAAAGAGTCTCTTTTTTCTTCTTGTGGAGGCTGTGTTTAATAAAAGTTATTAAACTTTTATTAAACACAATTCTCATAGCTGGATCAGTTTATCTTTTCTCTTCAAAGGTAATTTGAAGGTCCATCTATTCCATCTCCAAAAAATAGCCAAAAGTTGCAATAATAGATTTTCACCACTAGATGTTCTCAGTAAGTTGAAAAAAAAAACTTTTCCAGACACCATTTTCCCCTTTTTTCTTTCTTTTGAAATATAATGTGAAAAAAGAAATAATCTGCCAGCATAAAGTGATAATACAGCTCTTAGAAAAAAAAAAATTTTTCTGTACCCCAAAACACATGAAAATAAAGTATGGTCTTTAAAATTTTATTGTATTCTTCTGTAACGCCTTTCTTCCCAAGCATTTAGAAGCTGCTTTTTCAAGCCAGGGAAATAATTCCAACAAGGCTCTTAACAGGCAAAAAAAAAAAAAAAAAAAAAAAGCAAGGTAAAATGAAGAGAGGAGCAGGAAAAAGAAAAAAAGCCTCACCCGGATTTACCACGGTGGTTCTTACAGCTTAGATGTTCTTTGACTTGTGGTTTGAAGCGGCAGGGTGATCGGCCATTTTACTGGCCGATCTTCTTCTCCGTCGGCCCTCAGAGATAGCTCGGACAGCTGGAGGAGCCGCCGCTCCTCCGCAGCCGAGCAAAGCCTCCTCGACAGAAGTCACACCCTCCAGGGTGACTTTCGACCCACATAAGGGTCTACCGGCGGAGGGAAGGCTAGCCGATGAGGAGACAAGTCTCCTCGTACAACTAGGGACGCTGAGAACCGGAACCAGAAGTCCATGTCAAATTTATAGCTACTCTTAACTTCCTTTGCATTCATAGCAAGACAGAATATAAGTAAAATAATGCCTACATTGCCATTAAATAGTTTCATTTTTCTTTTAAACATAACCACCTTTTTCAAAATTACCATTAAAATTTCTCTATACAATAAGGCATATTTTCTTATTTCCGGTTATATAGGAAATTGAATAAGGTTAAATAGATAAATGGAATTGGAAATACATTACTCTTAAGCAGAAAAGGAAACTTGTATGCATGTTAATATTTTGCATATACTTTGCACATGCTTATTTACTCATCTGTGGATGTTCATGTTATAATAACACATGGGGTACCCTTCCTTGGTACCCACTTCTAGTCCAAATAAAAGATAGCTGTGTCCTTTCGTTTTTTTCCAACCTGGAATTTTGGGAGGGAAACATCCCTTACTTATGAGGCAACCCTTATAATAGGAAAGTGTAATTTGTTTATTTCAGGACAGCATTGCCTAGCTTATTAAACTTCATATTTGATACCCATTCATCTGACCTTTTCTCTCTAATGA